AAATATGCGGGGTGCCCAGGGGCCCCCGGGGGCCCCCAGTTTCTGTGTGGGGCCCCAAGTGTGGGGCCCCGTTCAAAAGTAAACCGGTTGACTGAAAGAAATGGAAAAGTTCGTTTGAGTTGAGAAATAGATCTATTTAAAATGAGTTGTTAAAAGGGGACAAAGGAGACAGACACCCGGAGGCGTCCCTCGAGACAACAGCGCAAATGAATGCACAATATACAAGAAAGCCCCGAACGCATGCATGCATGCGCGCATGCGTGCATGCATGCACACGCGCATGCATGCATGCATGCATGCATGCGCGCATGCATGTGTGCGAACAGCGCCACCGAGGCGCACAAAAGTAGCGTTCGCAGCAGCAGCGGCAGCGCTGCTGCTGCAGCAGCTGCTGCTGCAGCAGCTGCTGCAGCAGCAGCTGGTGCTGCTGCTGCATGCAGTGTTTCCCTGGGCTGCGGGCTGCGCGGTGAGTTTATGGCCGCCTAAGTTTTCTATTGTTGTTTGCTACAATTGTCTATAATAATAATAATAATAATGATAATAATAATTAGGATAGTAATAATAATTAGGATAACATTAATGAAGCACTTCACTGTACACCTTATGCGTCGTAAATGCTGCACGGCTCGCTGCTGCTGCTCCTGCTGGCGCTGCTGCTGCTGCTGCTGCCGCTGCTTCTGCTGCTGCTAGCGCTGCTGCTGCCGCTGCCGCTGCTGCTGCTGCCGCTGCTGCTGCTTGGCCGCTGCTGCTGCTGCTGCTTCGCCGCTGCTGCTCCCTTGCCTTGCCTTTCTTGCCTTGCCGTGCCTTGCCGCTGCTGCCGCTGCTGCTGCTGCTGCTGCTGCTGCTGCTAGACTGGGAGTTGCTGCAGGAAGCAGGGAATTGCGGAGTCTGCTTCGCATGCGCAGCTGGCGCCGTCTTGCTGCTTCAGCTGCCGAATGAGCCACGAGACTCCTTCTTCGATTCCTTCTCCAGTTTTGGCGCTGCATGCAAAGACTCCGCTGCAGACAAAAGCAAAAGATATTTCATTTCAATTCAACTATTTATCATTTCATTTCATTTAAATCCCTTTATGCGCCCTCAGGGGGCCCCCAGCCTCAAAGAGTCCCCGGGGGCCCCAACGAGCCGCGGCCCAGCGCCCCAGGCCCCGGGGCCCCACGCCTAGGGTTTAGGGTTTAGGGTTTAGGGTTTAGGGTTTACCACTCCTTGTCGACGAGCTGGTGGAGGTTTAGTTGCTGCTGAATGTCCGCAACAGAAAGAGCGCCGGGACGGTCTTGTTTGGTGGCGAAGACCAGCAGAATGCTGGCGTTGGGGAGGTCCCGCAGCAGCCGGTCCAGCGAGCGGTTGGCTGCGCAGCAAACCCTAAACCCTAAACCCTAAACCCTAAACCCTAGGCCCTACGCGCTGGGCCCCTGCGAGGCGTCGGGCGGAGAGCGCGGCGCGCAGGCGAGCTGCGCGGTGTGCGTGGGGGCAGGCTGGGGTGGCTGGACCCTGGGGGCTGCGAACCCTAAACCCTGAACCCTAAACCCTAAAAGAGGGTTTAGCTCACCCACGCGGAGCCGGCCCGGGTCTGCGCTGTCGACCACGAAAATGATGCAGCGAATGTCCAGCTGGTGGGGCCTCACCTGCAGCAGGAAGAAGCAGCAAATTGTGAAATGAAAGAAAAGGCTTTCGGGGCTTTCTGTGGGTTTATTTCGAAATTAAATTAAAAAACACATTTAATCAATTAAAAGGTATTTCATTCTAAAGTTTTTTCTGAAAATAAGAAAAAACTTTGAATAAAACTCACCATGTCTTCAAAGTGCTGGCGCGTATCCCACATGACAAGGGCTGTGTCAGGGTAGTCGATTCTGTCGACTTCTAATCCTGAAAAGAATAAAAGAGGAACAAAACGGAAAATAAATTAATTTAAAAGCAATAAAACGAAAAACAAATTAATTTAAATGCAAATTTCCCGGAAGATCGCGACGAAACGGCGCGGGGAGGTGCGCATACACCCGAAAAATTGAATTTGAATTTTTGCAAGTTGCGCTGCGGTGTCTGTACACCGCGCCATGCAGCTTTCGTTTTTGCGCATTTTTGGCGTTTTGAAAGGAAATAAAAGGAAATAAAATAATAAATGTAAATAAACATAAATAATTGCGAATAAACGTAAATAAACGGGAAAAAGGGAAATAAAAAAGTCAAAATGAAGGAATTTTGCAGACGAACCCTCGGTGGGGGCGAGCTTGAAGAAACTCTTGTACTTCATCCACTTTATGATGGAAGTTTTGCCCGCTTGGGCCGGCCCCGCCACGCGAATCTGGTGCACCTTTTTGGAGCAGCAAAGCCGCAAAGTGCTGGAGAAGCAGCTGTTGAAGGCCCCCATTTTGGCGGGCGCTGGGGTGTACGTACACCTGAACGCCGCGCAGCTGCAGCAGCTGCAGCAGCGCCGCCCCCCAAACCACTTCTTCCGCAGCAGGGGGCCCCCCTGCTGCTTGCAAAACTACTTGGACGGGCTTGCGATGGGGGCCCCTAGAGCTGCCATGGGGAGTGCCCAGGCCAGGCCAAGCAGCAGCAGCAGCAGCAGCAGCAGCAGCAGCAGCAAGAACTTGAATGCTAATGCGACGGAGACAAACGGGGGGAAGCAGCCGGCGCCTAAGTCCTCCGCATGGTTTCGCAAGTGTAGCGACAGGGCCTGGGCGAAGACGCATTGAGCTGTGTGCAGCTTTCCGCGGCGAGCAAGCAGCAGCAGCAGCAGCAGCAGCAGCAGCGGCTGCAGCAGCAGCGGGCGCGCCGTCTAGAGGGCGACAAGGGCGCCGCTGTACGTACAGCTGGGGCTGCGCCGCGCAAAGCCCATGTGCTTCTCTCCGGAGGACTTCTGCATCCAGAAAAGGCGGAGAGAAGCGGAAAAGACTCAGCAGCAGCAGCAGCAGCAGGAGCAGCTCTTGCTGCGCTGCAGTGACGCAGAGGGCCACGGAGAGAGCGAAAGTGGCGAAAGCCGCGGGAGAAAAAACGCGAAATGCGACGAAGTCCCCCGCTAGCGGCGCTGGCCAGCGGGCGCGCAAGCAGCGACTCCAGCCAGCCGGCCGATCGAGCCACGAAAAAAGCCCGAAAAGAAGAAATGGGAAAGTTTTTGAATTAAATTCTTTTAGAGCTTTTCAAAAATGGGTTTGGAGCTGCTGCTGCGCGCGGTGAGGCGGAAGCAGCAGGAATTCAAGTTTGAGCTGTTGGTGCCGCGCGCGGCCGCAGCCCTCCGCTGCTGCTGCTGCATGCACAGCAGCACAAAAAGCTTTGAAATTCAAATTCAAAAGTCCAAAATTAATTAAAGTTTCCGCAACAACTCCGGCTGGCGCTTCCGCCGCTGCACTGGCTCCCGCGCAGGTGTACATACACCTGCGGACTGGGCGAAAGCGGCGATCACTTCGCTGCCAGCAGCTTCCCAGGCGGGAAAGCAGCATTATTTAATCGCAAAATCAATTAATTTTGCGTTCAACAACTTCTTTTTACTTTTATTTTCCCAAATTCCTCGAATTCGCGCTTCAACTCGACTCTCCCAGCCCCTGTTCAACTTGAAAATGGCCGAGCACACATTCAAGTTTTGAATTTCGGCGGCTGCCGCTGCCGCCGGAGATCATGTGGCGTTTTCTAGTTTGGGTTTTCCATTCTTTTTGTTTTTTTGTTTTATTTTTCAACTTCAACTCCCGGTTTCGCCGCCAGGTCCCGGCTTTCCGCCTCGGTTTCGCGTCTGTCTTCGCCTCTGCTGCAGCTCTTCTGGCCCTTCCAGCGCCACTTTCTGCGTTTCCTCTTTCCCCCCCTCCCGCCCCCTCCCTGCCGCTGCGCTCCGCTTCCTTCCCCGCAGGCCGGCCTCGCCTCGCAGCCGCTTCCCGGGGCCCCCCGGGGCCCCCTCCCCCCAGCAGCAGCAGCAGCAGCAGCAGCAGCGGCGACGCCGCGGCGGCAGCAGCAGCAGCAGCGGGAGGGCGCGCGCTGCCGCTGCTGCGCAGCAGCGCGGTGAAGGCCCCGCTGCTGCTGCTGCCGCGAGGCAGCAAACTGGTGGAGGGCTTCGAGGGGCCCCAGTTCGTGTCGCTGGGGCCCTCGCTGCAGTACCGGCGGCGGCTGCGCAGACACCGCAGAGACGAGGGCTGGGAGTTCTCCAACTTGCCTTTCAAAAGATTCTTTTTTGCTGCTCGCAGAAACCACAGAGACCAGGC